CAGATATGCGAACAAAATGTTCATCGTATAGCCTGAAGGTGGCAGACTACTACGGAAAACTAAAGATATGTGTGAAGATAATATTGAAGTGGATTTTAAAAAATTAACAGGATGAGGGCGTGGATTAGATTCAGCTGGCTCAGCAGTCTTCGATGGTTAGCTACTGTGAAGTGTAATGAAACTTCGTGTTCCATGAAAGTCGTGCATTCATTAACAAGTCTGGAAAGACTCGGGGAAAACCACGAAAAGCCTCGCCCCTCATGGTACACGCCCACATGCGCTGGTCTCACGTCAGGTGTTCATTCAAATGGCCGACGACATTTCGTGTGGAAGGGAGGGTGAGGGGGGGACTGTCACCTTGGGCGACATGCTGACCCGGAATGCGTGGGACGCAGAAGGGCGAGAATCTCGTTCAAATAAAGCTAATTGTCGTCCTTATTGACACGCTCCTATGCTTACGTGATAAGCGTGGGCTGGCTGGCTGGCTGGCTGTTTTGGGAAAGTGTGTCAGTGTTAAAGGTTGCGCGCCATTCCGTGAAGATGTATGGAGGAGTGAAGGTAAAAGCTCCACACATTCTTAACCTCGGCATCACGCCGTTGGAAAGGGGGCGGGTTTTCGAATAAAAATCAACCCTCCCTCCCAACAATTTGGACTGGGTGTGTGGAATGGGGAAGGAGGCGGCAATTAATATCCCGCGAAAGGGTAAATTCTGATGTTATTTTAATATGTTGGCTGTCCTGAAAAATCCCATAAATCAAACTGACAGAGGACAACAATGTCATTGTAACTAGTACCCCAGGTTAACAGTAAAGTCGACTTTGCATTGTACGAAGCCGTGGCTGGCTGGCTGGCAGTCGATTGGCGTATCAGAGTCATTAACCACGCACATGCACGATGTCACACTTCACGAGCTCCACTTCCGGGATACAGGCCTACCACCTGTTGTTTGTAACACGCGCTCGGTAGAAATTCATTTTAAAAGTAACGGAACTTGTGAACACGTAAATGAATCATCTGCAGCTGGAAAAGGACTAGGAGCATACCGACTGGGCGGACACAACTCCAAACAACAACTTCTTGGCAAGCTGACCCTCGCTTAGCTGTGCAATAAATTCCCTGGCCTTACGGATCCTGAAGGTTTATTTTTGTATTTACAAGGGCAGGAAGTGGATATATCCTCAGCCAGATGAATCCAATCCACAGTCTTACACCGTTTTTATGGTTAATTTTAATGTCTTAATCCCACTTACGGCTTGGTATCTAAAATGGTCTCTTTTCAGGGTCTATTCCTATGTCTTGGTCACCACAAATCGATTGTTACGGAATCTTCCCCTTGTTGAAGAAGTACATTGTTACGTAAAACTGTTGAGAACAAATGCACCAATAAATTCAACCCTTTAGAGCCCGAAGCTCGTCTAAATATTTAAGAATTCAGTCCGTACCGCGAAGAAAACACAACGCCTCACCGTTACGAAGATCAACTGGTTAACGCTGTTTAAGGAAATAATCGCTGTTTATTCTGATAATTAATTAACCCTTCGAAGCCGAAGCTCGTCTAAATAGCATTTAAGAATCCAGTCCGTACCGCGAAGAAAACACAACGCCTCACCGTTACGAAGATCAACTGGTTAACGCTGTTTAAGGAAATAATCGCTGTTTATTCTGATAATTAATTAACCCTTCGAAGCCGAAGCTCGTCTAAATAGCATTTAAGAATCCAGTCCGTACCGCGAAGAAAACACAACGCCTCACCGTTACGAAGATCAACTGGTTAACGCTGTTTAAGGAAATAATCGCTGTTTATTCTGATAATTAATTAACCCTTCGAAGCCGAAGCTCGTCTAAATAGCATTTAAGAATCCAGTCCGTACCGCGAAGAAAACACAACGCCTCACCGTTACGAAGATCAACTGGTTAACGCTGTTTAAGGAAATAATCGCTGTTTATTCTGATAATTAATTAACCCTTCGAAGCCGAAGCTCGTCTAAATAGCATTTAAGAATCCAGTCCGTACCGCGAAGAAAACACAACGCCTCACCGTTACGAAGATCAACTGGTTAACGCTGTTTAAGGAAATAATCGCTGTTTATTCTGATAATTAATTAACCCTTCGAAGCCGAAGCTCGTCTAAATAGCATTTAAGAATCCAGTCCGTACCGCGAAGAAAACACAACGCCTCACCGTTACGAAGATCAACTGGTTAACGCTGTTTAAGGAAATAATCGCTGTTTATTCTGATAATTAATTAACCCTTCGAAGCCGAAGCTCGTCTAAATAGCATTTAAGAATCCAGTCCGTACCGCGAAGAAAACACAACGCCTCACCGTTACGAAGATCAACTGGTTAACGCTGTTTAAGGAAATAATCGCTGTTTATTCTGATAATTAATTAACCCTTCGAAGCCGAAGCTCGTCTAAATAGCATTTAAGAATCCAGTCCGTACCGCGAAGAAAACACAACGCCTCACCGTTACGAAGATCAACTGGTTAACGCTGTTTAAGGAAATAATCGCTGTTTATTCTGATAATTAATTAACCCTTCGAAGCCGAAGCTCGTCTAAATAGCATTTAAGAATCCAGTCCGTACCGCGAAGAAAACACAACGCCTCACCGTTACGAAGATCAACTGGTTAACGCTGTTTAAGGAAATAATCGCTGTTTATTCTGATAATTAATTAACCCTTCGAAGCCGAAGCTCGTCTAAATAGCATTTAAGAATCCAGTCCGTACCGCGAAGAAAACACAACGCCTCACCGTTACGAAGATCAACTGGTTAACGCTGTTTAAGGAAATAATCGCTGTTTATTCTGATAATTAATTAACCCTTCGAAGCCGAAGCTCGTCTAAATAGCATTTAAGAATCCAGTCCGTACCGCGAAGAAAACACAACGCCTCACCGTTACGAAGATCAACTGGTTAACGCTGTTTAAGGAAATAATCGCTGTTTAAAGCGAGAATCATACGAGACTTGAACAATTGCATTTGTAAGACAATGTTTAGCCTTCCGGATTCGAATCGCCCCATTGTTGAGTGCTACTGAAATCTTACGTCCTCCAACTCCGGTCAACTGGTTTATTCCGATCCTGTGAAACAAGAGAAGGCCGTTCCGGCGCATCGCATCCTGTCTGAAGCTTCACACGCTCCGCGTTTCGTAAACCACGTGTTAAAATTCGCCAAGACAAAGATCAGGCCAACGATTTCATCACAGACACGACTAAAATACTCACCCGGCTTTAAAACGCAAATATAACAACAGAATTACGAACAGTGTTGCCACAATGACGGATCCGACCTGCATCATCCGTTCGTCTCTGTGGTCTGTGCCGTTAACGAGTACGACAAGCTACCGGATACAATAACTTAAGTAGCTTTAATTTTTCGTAAGAAGCTTTAATAGCCTGTCTGTGTCTCCGTACTTTTTAAAACCGTTCTAATTCTCCTCGCATGGCCAATTCACGACTGTGATAAGAGAAAAGGTACTGCCAACATAACCATAATTAAAAATATCGGTAAAATAAAGTAAAGACCATTAAGGCTTTGACCGGGATGTTCTTTTGTTAAATCTTATGTGGTACCGCCTGATTCGACTTCTAATGGTTAAGTGAAGTGTTTTCTTCGCGGTACGGTCTGGATTCGTAAATATTATGAAGACGAGCTTCGGCTTCAAAGGGTTAACCAGCTGATTTTCGTAATGGTGAGTTGTAGTGTTTTCTTCGCGGTACGGACTGAATTCGTAAATAATATTCAGACGATCTTCGGTTTCAAAGGGTTAATAATCATTTCGCTTCAGGGGAGCGGGTGACCAAACTTCTGAAACCCTAAACGTCTAGGTTAGGGTCCAGTGGCCGTGTTCCAGCCACAACGAAGTTTTCTTTGGTCACTCCACAGTTCCATGCATTTTTCCCGTCTTTGAGTCGAAATTTCCAACCATTTCAACATGTTCTACCCATTTCACGTTTTCTGTCGATGGATCTGAGTCCTTGTTGACAAACTAACAGCTGCTCAGTTGGTCAACAAATTGCTCAAACTTCGTGAAACACAAATGTTCATTGCCGTATTCATAACAGCTTTTCACTGGATCCTGCACTGAACCAATTGAATTCAGTCCACACTCTCACACCCCACTTTTCAAATTTCTATCTCAATGTTATCCTCCCATCTACTCCTAGGTCTGGCACGTGGCCTCTTTCTGAATTGTGACACATTATTATTATTAATTAGTAAATTAAGTAACGTGAAGAATCATGCGAAAATCCATGAGTCACAACATTCCTTAATAGCATTACCATGGAAACGATTATAATAAGACACATGTTCATAGACATTATCCCTTAAGGCCCAAAATCCCTTGACAGCGAATTATATACCACAGATAGACGCAACTCGTGACAATTTTAATCCGTGTACGCGAATTACGGCTTTAATAATATTGTGTACGATTGTTCAGTAATGATCGTCACCTTTAGCTTTGTAACAAAATGGCGTGACCTTGAGGAGAGACGACCGTCGACCGGCGATGCCTTCGGTGGGCGGCCGGCGGAAATCAGAAAGGAGACGACAGGGATAACGGGCTCGAGAGCCACGCGTGGACCTCAAAATCCGCGCCCCGCTCATAACACTTGCTGAAAAATCAAACCGCGTTTTATGGAACCCGAAGGTTCCTTACCGTGCTCACAAGAGCCCGCCACCGGTCCTTACTCTGAGCCAGTTTAATTCAGTCAACAACTTCACAACCTCTTTTAATATTATACTGCCATCTATGCCTTGGTCTTTCAAGTGGTCTGTCACTTGCACTAAAGGCTTCGTAACCAACATTTTGCAGCCCACGTACTTAACTATTCCATGCGTGCTATATTCCCCGTCCATCTTATCAGCCTTGATTTTATTCATCATGATATGTTGGTGAACAGAACAAGTTATGAGAATCCCAGATTGAAAGTTCACACGGTCGCCATGTTTAAACAAATAATTTTAAGTAGGATTCCGACCGGGGTTCGATCCCCGACGGGGCCAGAGGATTTTTCCTCTGGCCTCTGCGCCCAGACCGTCTCTGGGACCCACCCAACCTCCTGTCCAATTGGTACCGGGGGTCGTTTCCCCGGGGGTAAAGCCGGCCAGGGCGTGACACTGACCACTCCCCCCCATCTAGTGCCGAGGTTAAGAATGAGTAGGAGCTATACATCATCTCCCCCCAAGCGCCTACATGGCGTATAGCGGGACGGCTTTAAAAGTGGGGACTTGGTTTCAAGCAGCGTTGCTTCAAACGAAGTTTCGTCTGAACAGACGAGTTCCTAACTTGATAAGAGGATGTTCATACACAAGACTCGGTTTATTTCGTAAACCGGGCACGAAAAACTTTTCCCGCCGCGATGTAAGTGGGGCAGAACGTTCAGACGGCGGCCGTGTCCTCGTTTCGCCGCCGAAGTCCCTTCAGCGCGTGTCGGTGAATCGCCGATTATGGATCTGACCCAAATTACGTCATCTCGCAGGCCCGGGCGACCTTCGGACTCAGTTCTCATAACGATGACTCATCGTGTTGTGCCGGGTTGCAGGTGAACGAGACTCCTCATGATGTCGCACTCTGTCACGATCAGCAGGACCACGACTACCACCACGTCGACGGCCATCATCCTCAACACCGGCTACCTCAAGACCGGCGCGGGGCTGCTCAAACTGGCGGAGATGGTACGGAATCGTTAGGTTAGGTTAGGTTGGTTTGGGTTAGGTTAGGAAGGTTAGGTTGGGTTGCATTAGGTTAGGTTAGGTTGGATTAGGTTACGTTAGGTTAGGTTGGGTTGGGTTAGATTAGGTTAGGTTGGGTTAGATTAGGTTGGGTTAGATTAGGTTAGGTTGGGTTAGATTAGGTTGGGTTAGATTAGGTTAGGTTAGGTTAGGTTAGGAAGGTTAGGTTGGGTTGCATTAGGTTAGGTTAGGTTGGGTTAGGTTACGTTACGTTAGGTTAGGTTAGGTTAGGTTGATGAACTACAATCTCGTGGCACCCCAAGGTTTCCGTCCAGGCAGTTCCGTCGTCGGACTGTCCCCCGACGATCCCAAATCAGGCGACGCTCAGGCCGCAACAACGCGCCTGAGGAAAATCTGGGGACAGGCCCTCCTCGACATATCGTCCGCCGACGCTCGACGCCGTGATCATTTGTTTAGTTTTTACGCTGGTTCAAGGCCAGTCACGTGCGGGTTTGGTGATCACTTTTCGTAAAAATCGAATCTTTATTTCGATACACAACGATTGCCTACCAACTTCAATGATGAACGCCCTGAAGACAGCTGTTGTTTTCGGGGCGAACGCTTTAGGGGCAGGCCTCACAGACGCTTAGGGGATGGAACGGGAGCTTCTCTCTGCGGCGAAGATGACGCCGTGTGGACCTTCACTTAGAGACCAACATGCTGCCTCCATCTTCAGGTAGCCAGAATACGGACGTCGACAAACCCAATCGTGACCAATTCCCCTGCAGTGCAACAGACCGCGATGGGCTGGGCACGTGGAAAGAATCGCGGTACACGGAAAAATTCTTCGACAAATGCCGGATGGGATGCGGGTGGACCCGGTTGATTGAGGATCATGTCCAGTCCACAGCCTCTCGTTTCGTGTCAGAGTGCGCGACCTACTTCCTATTATTAATCTCGTCCCTGTGACGTAACCCGCGCCATTCATTGGCCCAACCGTCCGTGCGTTCGCCTGTTCCTGAGACAATTTTTTCCAGGACAGAAATAATGTGCCCGTCGTCGTGAGGATTGCGGTCCTGTGGGCGTCGACTTCGTGGATGTTCGTCGCAGCAACGCCCGGACCTTGACCACCGACGTTCTGGAACGCACGGCTTTTCCAAGGCACTAATCGACTCATTTCCTGACTGACAAACAAACGCAGCAAACGGATATAACGTAATTAAATAACGCAAGGAGAAATCGATGGTTCTCATTTATATTAATTGGGGTCCCTGTTCTTTCATTCATTGCTTTCCCTCGTGTTTCTCTCCTCTCTCTTTCACTGCATTAACCAACTGAAACGTTGTCATGGTTGTTTTCTTTGAGGTACGGACTATTCTAATTAAATACGAATTATTCAGGCGAGATTCTGCATCAAAGTTAGAGGTAATCGTTCGGCCGCAACGTCCGGTGATATTTGTGTCTAAGGAGGTGACGTAAGGCGTCGGGAAAACCCGTGCGTCACGGAGCAGCGTTAAAATGTTTAACGGTGCCTTCAGAGCTCAGTAATCTCGCGGCGGCGCCGTCCGAACTGAGAAGACGCCACAGAATTGAATTACTTCGACAGTTCGGACCGAAGGTTGCACTCTGTTGTCCGCTCACATGATAGAGGGCGAATGTGTGGAGCCATAGTTTTATCGTGATATGGGCGCGGCTTACTCGCCGCCCTGATGAAGGAGGCAGGGAGAACATCCGAAACGTAGGTCACTTTTTTTACCAGGCAACGAGCTGTTGTGAACACGGTGACGTAACACGTGGTCCAGGTGGGGAAATTCCTTGACCTGGTGAGCGACCAGGGTTTTGCTGTTGGAAACCGAACGCGGTGGAGCGCCTGATAACTCACAGCACGCTGTGTGTGTGGGCGTGCGCTTGCACGATCAGGAGGAATTCTGACTGACGGTGACATCATTCGCGACTGTAAGACTGCCGCAAAGTTGGCACGAGTCCAAGCGGCGAACTGTGTGTTTACAGGCAGAGCTAATCGGAACACGGCTTCAGTCGCCAGCGATGCAGTGAGCTCGTTAGCTCGCCTAACGAACCGGGAAATTGCTGAAACTCGGCTAACAGACTGTATGCAGCACTGTCATTCTCGAGAAGCTGATAGTCGCCCAGAGAAATCGGAAATTCGCGTTTCACTGAACACGAAAATCTTTTACCGCGTTCAGAAAAGCCAACCAGCCGAGTGGTCGGGTTTTCGTGTTAAAATTCTGTGCGTATTTCTCGTCTCCGCCCATCGCAGCCTCGTCTATTTCATCGTCCTGATAACATCTGGTCCACTTCACTTACTTATAGGTGTCTGTCCATTGATATTTTGAGCTTGTTTACAAAATACTTCCTTCTTTCAATAGAGTTGATTAAAAAATCACTATTCGTACGAACGTTAAGCCGTTATCTGTATTCGGCAATGTTCGTAAGATTTCGGCATTTCCTCCCGACGCCACGAAGCCAGAGGTGGGTGAGTGGGGGGCGGAGGAATAACTCCACGCATTCTGAACCTTCACGGTCTGGCCACTTCCCTCGTGGGTGCCGCCGACCCCAGAGAGAGTTTTAAAGGCGGCGGTGAGAATCGAACCCCGAGCGTCTAACTCCAGCACAAATGGTCTCTCGCTTTTGTAGGTCGAACGGAAATGATCGCGCGCCGTGTTTCTTTTGTTTCGCGACAGTTGCTGACGTCATATTTGTGTATGTAGCAGCCATTTTGGTTCGCGTTTGCGCAAATGACAGACGGCGAATCGTGAAGTGGAACTTATTTAAGTATGACGTATCATCACTCAGAAGTCAGCAGAAAGTCACGAACAGCTGGGAGACACCAGACACCTCAGAAACAAACTAGTTATTTACAGATGTAACCCTTTGAGAACGAATCTCGTCTATAATATTTAAGAATTCAGACCGTACCGCGAAGAAAACACAACGCCTCACCATTACAAAGATCAACTGGTTAACGCTGTTTAAGGAAATAATAGATTTTTATTCTGATAATTAATTAACCCTTCGAAGCCGAAGCTCGTCTAAATAGCATTTAAGAATCCAGTCCGTACCGCGAAGAAAACACAACGCCTCACCGTTACAAAGATCAACTGGTTAACGCTGTTTAAGGAAATAATAGATTTTTATTCTGATAATTAATTAACTCCTCGAAGCCGAATCTCGTCTAAAATATTTAAGAATCCGGTCCGTACCGCCGTACCCGTCGGGGATCGAACCCCCGGTCGTCCAGTACGTAGCCAATGACTGTACTGACTGAGCCTTCTCGGCTGTCTATAAACAGTCCTTACCTTTCAGCTGTAAGATGTCCGGACCTCAACAGCTTTGACCTAGTTCGGGGGTCAGTGACCTTCTCTCTGTCTCTCTCTCTGAATGACGACATGTTGACGTAATTCCCCGGATCGTGTCGGCGATGTTCCTAACGACGCCAGGAGACCTAAAAAGGAAAATGATTTGAAGTTGGCTACACGGGAAGATATCCAGATGCAATGCAGCCTGATTAATTAATTGATTAAATGAAATGTAATGGACTTTAAATTTTTTTTAAAAGCTTCTCTAGTGGACCCTCGATTAGCCAAACGTGCAGTAGGAAGTTTAGTTTTTAATTTACTTTTTTATAGTGAAGAGATACGAACTGGCACACCATTAAGTCGTGGAGTTGGGGGTGTGCATTTATCGTATCTCTCACCGAGTCTGCAGACCAGCGCTGGCCTCTGTTCTGTGGCCACGAACAGCCACCGACTTCGATGTTTAACTGAGGCTGAAACTCGGTGTCTGTGACGTACAAGTCCTACTGACCGACACTGGCAGACGACAGACAAAATAATAATATTTAATTAAAGCCATTCTGATTTGTATTGCAGATTCTGGGTTGTGTGTGCGTTGGGTTGGTGGCTGCCTACGTCAACAACAACTCATATCGGGTGAACCCAATATATTTCACTCAGGTTCTGTTCTTTCTGCTGATTGCCACAGCGTTCCTCATCACCACCACGTGTTTGTTGCTGTCATCACTTCTCTCTTTTCTCACAGCATCCATGATACACAAGACCCTCTTTGTGAGTATCTCTGGGACGGAACATGACCTGATGCAAATTACGCGAAACTTGGTTCTGATTTAACAAAGGTCATTCTACATTTAAAATACAAAAAACATGCCCCGTGTTTACAACTCGAAATAAGTCAAAAACTGCATTAGCGTATTTTTATTGAATAAAAATTTTCTTGGATATTATCCATCGTCTAGTAAATATAAAACGTAAAACGACGTTTCGGAGATCGGACTCACTAGATAGAGCTAATCCCTATCTCCGGATTAGCTCTATCTAGTGGGCCCAACTGTGTAGGAACCTGAAGACGGAGATAGAGCCCCATCTCCGAAACGTCGTTTTACGTTTTATATTTTATATTTTACTAGACGATGGATAATATCCAAGTAAATTTTTATTGAATTGACTCTTCACCATCGTCAAGAAGTTTTAGATTTGATATGCATTAGTATTATTACAGATAAAATATATGAAAGTTTCGCGTAATTTCCCATTAATGATTAATTTCAATATTTCATAAAAAGTGTGTACTCGTAAAAAAAAATTTTGATTTGGCAAGTATTTAACAGCGCGAACATTATTTAGATTCCGAAGGGTTCAAAAACTCTGACATAATATTTTCAGATTTACTTTACGAAGCATTCCTGATACGAAGTTTCGTAAAAATCTCTTTACACTTATGCAATTCCATGGACAGACGTGGTCTCCCCGAAATGCAATTCTTATGATATTTGCCTTTCTCCATAATTAACATAAAATTTAATACGAGTGAGTGACATTTATTCTGAGAAAAATTTGTATTTTGGTGTTACAGGAAGTTATATATCACGTGGTTGCATTTGCATTGTACCTAGCCGCAGGAATTGTTTTGCTGGTCGAGATCAAGGACCACGATCGGAGTCAATATTACAACGCCTACCTCGCTGCAGCTGTAAGTATCTGCACAGAGCAAGAAACGCCGTCTTCTGGGTTGTCGCGTCGTGGAATCCGGTAGGAGTTTATACCGATGTTTCAGAGGTCCTTGCTGATGGAGGCAGCGAGGACCTCTGATTGTCCGCAAACTTCCACCGGATTCCACGACGCGACAACCCAGAAGACGGCGTCTTCAGACTCACCGCCGTGAAGACTTCAAATCCTGCATCAACGCTTGAAATTGAATTCTGACGGCGTCTTCAGACTCACCAAAGGACAGATTACGAGTAGAAAATTTAAGGAGGTGTCACGTTTTCTTGGTTGTTTCTTTGCGTAGACCATCAGAGGCGTTCAGAAGTAACTTAAGTACTCCGAGGAACAAGAATCTTTTAGAAGCTGGGGGTAATTTTTGACAGAGGCTCTGCAGAGTTGCAAAACGTGCCTGAAAATTGCTGTCAAATAAAACTGAAGTTCATTTGTGTCTTAATTCTGTTCAAGTAACGTAGAGTTCAAGTGTCTGAAACAAAATATCTGGATCTTACAGAGAAAGTAACTGGGGAACGCAGAATTTCGCGTAATTACAAAATCGACGACATACGAGGTGCGATCGGAAAGTTTCAAGACTGTGTCAATAGAGGGCGAACCGGATGTAGTACGAGCATCTGCCGCTAGGGGGTGCGGCCTACATTCATAGTGAATCAGTGTGCCAGCCGGCATCATCGAATTAGCATTTGTTTCTTAGTTACGGGCGTTTTGGTAGTGCATTACACCGACCCTCCTGCGATTTCGGAATGGCGTGTGCATCAAATTTTGCCAGAGACTCGCCAAAACGGCTACGGAAACCTATGAAATGCTAAAGCAAGCATTTGGGGAGTCCGCAAACTTTTGTGTGGCATTCACGTTTTAAAAATGGCCGAACCTCTGTCGATGATGACGAGCGTTCTGGACGACCATCTTCGAGCACAACGCCCGAAAATGTTACGAAGATCGACGTCGTACCATCAACGACTTGTGCGACATTGTTGGGATAGGCTATGGGACCTGTCAGCTGATTCTAAAGGAAGAACTCCACATGCGACGCATCCTGTCTGAGGACCAGAAGCAGAATCGACTTCTCGTTTGTCAGGAGCTCAAAGATCTTGCAAGAACCGACCCCAACTTCCTTTCTAAGCTCCGTGTGACTTCTTCCTCTTCCCAAAGATGAAAATTCAGCTAAAGGGAAGGAGATTTGAGACGATAGAAGAGATTCAGGCAGAATCGCAGATGGTGCTTGACAGGCTGACAAAGAAAGATTTCCAGGGATGCTTCCAGGCTTGGCAGCGGCGCTGGGATCGTTGTGTTCACTCCCAGGGGAACTACTTCGAGGGTGATGGATGAATTTAATACCTGAGATAAGTGTACGGGTTTTTATACGCGCAGTCTGGAAACGTTCTGATCGCACCTCGTAGGCGACTTTCGTAGAAGTCGTACTTTCTTACGTCAAAGAAGTTATTGGTGATGAAGGTTAAGACGGATTGAACCGCAAGGGAATTTCGAAAAGTTTTGACCACGAAACTTCTTGGATTTTCGTTAACGTCGTAGATAAATTGTGAAATCAATTATTCAATCTGATTCAAAAAACTGATGATAAAATTCAAATGCCTTTGCAGTTCTGTGATCGGTTGTGATTTTCAGATCATCGGTCTGGTGAACGCTGCCTTGTACCTGCTGAGCACCATCCTGGCGATTCGGACCTACAAAGGAGCAGGACTGTAGAACGAAAACATGGTTAGGATTCTACAGACTTGTGTTCAGAGACATTACGAGCGTAATTCTCTTGTAATGTCATTCGTTATCATCAGATCGTATTTATGTCTGTCGGGGGAATGCCACGCCCAATCAGGAACTTTTCTTTCGTGGTTTTATTTATATTTTAAATGTATGAAAGTACCAAACTGGCTTCGACCTGCAAAAACATTTACGTATTTCAAAATTAGTCACGTTCTGAGTGAGTCGCGTTGTGCCCACTTTAAGGCACTAATTGGTACGTGCACTAGATGAAAGGTGCGTCGTAAATGTTTTCAAGGTTTAAGACAAAGTCCCTTTGAAACCGAAGATCGTCTGAATATTATTTACGAATCCAGTCCGTACCGCGAAGAAAACACTACACCTCACCATTACAAAGACCAACTGGTTAACGCTGTTTAAGGAAATAATAGATTTTTATTCTGATAATTAATTAACCCTTCGAAGCCGAAGATCGTCTGAATATTATTTACGAAT